CATCGTGATTGTGAGAGACATTTTAGAGTTTGTTTCTCTGTAGTACTGCTCGAGGTTGTCCATACTCCTCATGTCTCCTGCCCCAAAGATGTTAGCTCCCCTGAGATGTCTACTTGGATTATATCTTTTCTTCTTTTCAACATACTGGCTCTAGCAATATATCCACCTTGGATGTGAAATTGCAATAGGGCCAATACGGTATTCTTGTTTAGGACTGGTCATACAGTTTTATTTCTCAGTTCCATGATTTTATCAGGAGTTAAGTTCTCTGGACACTGAAATTTCCTCAGTGCCAACGAGGCCAGTAATTACTCCCCACCCCTAATTTTTCAGCTCCCCAAAACCACTTCCAAATTTGAACTGGAGCTGTTCCAAGCCTCTCCATCAGCAGCTCTCCCCAGGTCCATCTTCCCAGTCCTTGTGAGCAGCAATGTGTACAGCATTCTCATGACAGTTTCTGTGACTCACTAGTGAAGAATGACAAGGAGCCTGTAAAGTCTCGACTTGGCTTAAGACAAAACCAAAGTAGGCTTCAGGAGAAAGAGACAGCCAAACTTCATCTTCCTCGTCTGTCTGGCCCTTTAATATGACTCTTGTGCTTGCGCTATTCTGACCATTTGCCTGAGTTACCTCCTCTGTGGCTCTGCTCTTCCATTTATCTCAGTTTCATGAAGGGCCAGGCAAATAGGTACCCACATGAAAGGCACCTACTTCTGGCAGCCAGGGCCCTGTCTTCCTGTCTCTTGACCTACGTGGCCTGTGAATCCTGATGCTCTAGGCTGACCTATACCTATGGCCATGCAAGGACCGGTCCCTCAGCTCCCTGCAACTGAGTGAAGCCACCAGGGCAAAGACTGCAACCAGACGAGGAGACGGAGGCTGCAGAGATTACAGAGAGCTCTGCCTGGTGACCTGTGGCTGAGGTTGTTAAATGACCAATGCATCTCAACACTTCCCTGGGCCCTCACCATCCAGCCTGCTTCAGAATTTTTAAAATATGAAATACCATAGGAAATAGGTATCTGACTACAACATGTGCTTTAAGCTTCAGCTGTTTTGTATAGTTGCATGTATTCAGGATTTACAGCGTAATGCTGTGAGTCATGATCATAAAGTGTGAAAGGCAGTATCCTCATTTGTTAGCTGCCTTCATTTTAGTGCCCCTCTTATTCGTTATCTACCCTGGACATGACCTTTCCAAGATGTGATCAAAATATAGGAAATGTTACATACTGGATTGAGAGTCTGATAAAGCTGCTGTGGAACTCTGGCTCTGGCAGTTAATGGATATGTGATCATGTATGAATGACTTCAATAACAATCCCTGTCCTCCTCATCTGCCACGTGGAAGTAGCATCATGAATTTAGGGCTGTGAACCAGCCCCATGCTGGCCACTTTAAATCATTTATGTCTAATCTTTGCAATAATGCTAAAGCAATTATTATTATCTTCATTTTTGTATTTTTGAAATTACATTTTAAGTTCTGGGATATGTGTGTAGAACGCGCAGGTTTGTTACATAGCTGTACATGTGCCATGGTGGTTTTCTGCACCCATCAACACGTCATCTACATTAGGTATTTGTCTTAATGCTATCCCTCCCCTAGCCCCCCATGCCCCGACAGGCCCCAGTGTGTGATGTTCCCCTCCCTGTGTCCACGTATTCTCATTGTTCAACTCCCACTTATGAATGAGAACATGTGGTGTTTGGTTTTCTGTTCCTATGTTAGTTTGCTGAGAATGACGGTTTCCAGCTTCATCCATGTCCCTGCAAAAGACACGAACTCATCATTTTTATGGCTGCATAGTGTTCCATGGTGTATATATGCCACATTTTCTTTATCCAGTCTATCACTTACGGGCATTTAGGTTGATTTCAAGTCTTTGCTATTGTGAACAGTGCTGCAATAAACATGCAATAGACATGTGTGCACGTGTCTTTATAGTGGAATGATTTATAATCCTTTGGGTATATACCCAGTAATGGGGTTGCTGAGTCAAATGGTATTTTTGGTTCTATATCCTTGAGGAATCACCACACTGTCTTCCACAATGGTTGAACTAATTTACACTCCTACCAACAGTGTAAAAGTGTTCCTATTCCTCCACATCTTCTCCAGCATCTATCGTTTCCTGAGTTTTTAATGATCACCATTCTAACTGGTGTGAGATGATATCTCATTTTATTAAGAAGACTGAAGCTCAGAGAAGTTAAGTAACTTCCTCGGGGTCACACTGCTTGTATGTTCCTGAGCAAGGATTCATTCAAACTTTCCATGTTCTTTCCTTTGAGCATGAACTTCTAACCATGGCTACTTCTATAGACATCTCACACATTCACATCTCAGTCAATCAAGTATTTATTAAGCATCAGTTCTGCACATAGCACTGAGTTGGGGAATGTAAATAAAAAGAAAAGAGTAAAATGTGGTTTGTGGCTGGGCGTGGTGGCTCATACCAGAAATCCCAGCACTTTGGGAGACTGAGTCAGGAGGATTGCTTGAGTCCAGGAGTTCAAGACCAGCTCGGGCAACATAATGAGACCTCATCTCTACAAAAAACAAAAAAAAAAATTAGCTTGGTGTGGTGCACACCTGTCGTCCCAGCTACTTGGAAGGCTGAGGCAGGAGGATCACTTGAGCCCCAAGGTTGAGGCTGCAGCGAACTATGCTTACTGTCACTGAACTCCAGCCTGGGCAACAGAACAAGACCCTGTCTCAGAAAAGAAAAAAAACTGCTGTTTGTTGTTGTAGAATGTACATTTAACTTAGAGCAAAAACACTGATAGACACAGGGCAACAGCAAGTTTCTCAGTGGTGCTGAGCATTTAAAGCCCATTAGATAATATTTAAAAATTGTAACAGGTGTTATTGTGTTATAAATTTACATGACACTTAATGAAGGAAATTAATTTATATTTTACACAATGCATAAAGGATCTAGCTGAAGGACTGAATTTCTAGATTAGGAATCTATATGAATATGAATATCAGTTGCTTATTAAAATGTAACAGAATTGTTTTGAATACTGAAAAAGAAACAATAAAAAATAAAATAAAATGTAACAGAAGATGACCCATTTTGCCAGCATGACCAATATAGTGAAACCTCATCTTTACTAAAAATACAAAAATTAGCCAGGAGTGGTGGTGGGTGCCTGTAGACCCAGCTGCTCTGGAGGCCGAGACAGGGGAACTGCATGAACCCAGGGGGCGGAGGTTGCAGTGAGCCAAGATCATGCCACTGTACTCTGGCCTGGGTAACAGAGGTGAGACTCTTTCTCAAAAAAACCCCAAAAAACAAAACAAGAAGATGAACCATTTTAGGATTGTGACTATTTGAATAACATAGTCTCTTTTACATTTAAAAATTAAACCCTATATATCTGTGTTTTACCTAACTTCCAGCATCTTTTCAAGTTGATCTGCTTTCCAGCTAAGAACTAATAGGGCAGAACATTAAAAAAAAAAAAATCATTCTTTAAAGGGCTCACAGGAAACTGCCTACTTAGTCACTCATCAGAGTAAGCCTCACCCTTCCACATCTTGTTTACTCTTTCTGCTTTCCCTATTTATTGTTTTAAACTGAATTTCCATTCCTCTAGTGAGCACCATGTTCCAAGCAAAGCTGGGAAATTCAGTTTATGGACACAGTACTGACTTAGCAGTAGAAATATCAACATTTTATTTATTATTCAAATCAATAATAAGGCATATGGTGCAATGAAAAAGGATTCAATGGGAGAACTAAAGAGCTGGGCATGTAGACTTAGAGGACAACCCTGAAAGGGTGCTGGTGCTCTTCTGTAGCCCATCTGTATAGTGTGGTGGAATGATAAAAGCCAACAATTTGGCTTAGGACTTTTGCAGTGGTTGGTATGAATAAAAAAGTCAGAGCTGGGTGTGGTGGCTTATACATGTAATCCCAGCACTCACCATGTGAGGCCAAGGCAGGAAGATCACTTGAGGCCAGGAGTTGGAGACCAGCCTTGGCAACATAGCAAGACCTGATCTCAACAACAACAACAACAACAACAACAACAACAACCACAACCAAAAAACTCGGTGGGTGCAGTGGCATGTGCCTGTAGTCCCAGCTACTCAGGAGGCTGAGGTGGGAGGCTCTCTTGAGGCCAGGAGTTCAAAATTGCAGTGAGCTATGATTGCATCACTGCACTTCCAGCCTGGGTACAGAGGAAGACCTTCACCAAGAAGAAAGAAAGAGGAAAAGAAAGAAAGAAAAGAAAAGGAAGAAAGAAAAAAAGGAAGGAAGGAAGAGAAGGAAAGAAAAATAGAAAAGGAAAGAAAAAAGAGGAAGGAAGGAGGGAGGGAGGGAGAGGGAGGGAGAGAAAGAAAAAGAAAGAAAGAAAGAAAAGAAAAGAAAGAAAGGAAGAAAGAAAAGAAAAGAAAAGAAAAGAAAGAAAGAAAGAAAGAAAAGAAAGAAAAGAAAGAAAAAGAAAGAAAGAAAGAGTCTGTTCTCACATTGCTATAACTAACTGCCTGATACTGGGTAATTTATAAAGAAAGGAGGTTTAATTGACTCACAGTTCCATGTGGCTTGGGAGGCCTCAGGAAAATTACAATCATGGCGGAAGGAGAAGCAGGCATATCTTACGTGGTGGCAGGTGAGAGAGATGGTGTGTGAGCACAGGAAAAACTACTATATATAAGACCATCAGATCTTGTAAGAATGTACTCATATCACAAGAACAGCATGGGGGATACAACCCCCATAATCCAATCACTTCCCACCAGGTCTCCCCCTCAACACTGGGGTTGCAATTCAAGATGAGAGTTGTGTGAGGAACACAAAGAAGCCAAACCATATAAGAAAGAAGAGAGAGAGAAAGGAGAGAAAGAAAGAATCAGACAGGATTCCTTTTGAGATATACTTTTTTAAACTGACATGGGAAGCCATGTAGTTACATTGGTTTAACTGATATTTAAAGATTATACTCTGTTGTTACCATTTCTTACAACTAAATTTTATTATTTCTTAGCTACAAACTATGAGGAAAATACAAGAGGAAATCCCAAGATGAATTTTTTCAATTTTCTTTCTTTTAATTTCTTTGTTCGAAAATAAAATTAGTGTTAAAGCCTCTGGAAGAAAATCAGTACTGTTCACATTTTGTTTAGGTAAGTCAAATGATATACATATTTATCTAGAAACCAAAAGTTCATGTTACTATTACTATTTTTCACACAGAATTTCAAAGGATCTTAGAGTATTTTTCAAATAGATGCAAATTTAGGTAGGTGCATACGCTCAGAGGTAAAACATAAATGGGGTTGTCTGGTTACTGAGCTGAAGAATTATATTTTAAAAAAATTCTTTGAAAAATTATCAGATCCAAGTTAAAATATACAAAAAGTATCTTTAAAAACATAGTCAGAAGTATGAAAACTAGACAAAACATTTGACAAGTATAAGAAAACTTGAGCTATAACCCATACAAACCTCCCTGCTGCCATAAAATTCCCAGCCAGCACAAGATAACAAGATTCCATTCTTGTGATGTATTGGATGGAGTTACTACATATCAAAGAAAACCATGGTTTCTGGTTAGTGAAGGTGCAACGTAAAATTTAAAGATTATATTATCCCTAACTGGCAAATAATATGCATCAGGTTTAATTCACTCTGAACTTACAAAGTATATGGTACTAGGTCCTATGGGACTGTAGAGCCATCCTTTCCTAGGTTGTGTTAGTTAATGTGCAAAATAGTAAGCCAGAATCTAAGAAGTAGAAAATAGTCACTCATGCTTTCTCCAAACCAATATAAAAAGACGGAATAAAATAAAAGATTAAAACATAAAGGCACACACATTAAAAAATAAAAACATATTAATGAACTTTACAAACATTTCCATCAGATGAAGAGTATGCTCTCTTGAAGGAAGTGATAACATTGGCTTTTCAGGTATACCAAAGTAAGGAGACACACTATCAGAGAAAAAGCAGCCTCATAGAGCAGAAAGCTTTGTTTCATTCATTTGAGAAACATACACTGAGTGCCTAAGTATAGATCTTGGTAATGTATGTGAAAAAAATATTTTTAAAAAGTTAAAAGAGGTTATTTCATGACCTATTCTAAGTTTTGCATTTGACAGGTAGAATCAAATAGAGTCAAGGTTTGGATATAATGATATTTTTAAAACTATCTTTAGTTTTTATTCTTTTTAGAGATATAAGAAAATTGTAATATAAAACAATTGGTGAACTAAGCTGAGCTAAAAGCAATTTATGAAAGAAAAATGGGTAGTATTGTTTATATATGCATGTGGGTATTTGTGTGGGTGCATATGTGTATTTGTGTTGAAGGAGCAGCCTCCAGTTTGATTATCTTAAAGAAATACAGTACATCACCCTGTGCCCTCTAGCTTCCATACCTCATAACAGCTGCTCTTCAGCTGCCAGTTTTCTAGGTTATTTGGTCACATTTTTCTGCGAGAGGAGAGTCTTTTATAAAATGCCTTATTTGTGTTTCCTCAAATACAGGCTTCCTAGGGAACGTCACAGATCATGTGTTTTGGTTTATAAGTTCAAAGGAAAATTGCTTTGATTGCTAGATCAAAATTTTCAATCTGAGACAAAGTGAATAATTATACTTAAAAAGCTGAGCATCACTTCTACTAGTGGTACTTACAATGCATAAAATGTTGTGTCAATAAATACAAAGTTTTTTATGTGTAACAAGTCTGATGACTTATATAGAATATAATTTAGTTAAACATTTTACATCTAATTTTCAAAGTAATTATGCTGAGTGGAGGAAGTCAGGCAAGAAGGAATGGATGTTGCCTGATTACACTTATATAAAATTAAAGACAATGTAAAGTAATTATAGTGAGAGAAAGTACATCGGTGGTTGCCAGGGGGTGAAGGAAAGGAAGGCAGCAAGAGAGAGAGAGAGAGAGAAAAGAAAGGACAGAGATGACAAAAAGAGACAATTAAACTTTTGGGGTGCTGGAAACATTTGTTATCTTGACTGTTAATGATGAGTTCACAAATGCGTGTACGTTATATACTGTACACTTTACATATATGCAGTTATAGTATGTCAATTGCACTGCAACAAAGCTTTAAAAAATCTAACCTTCACTGTCGAATTATTTCTGTCCAAATGAACTGTGCTAATATAATTACTATATGTTAAAGACATCTGGGAATTAAGGTGAAGAATAAACATATGATAGGCAGGAAGTCTTCCTTTTGATGTTGTATGTCTTCAGTGACTTATCACCTTAAGCTTTTCCAGCAACACAGAACAGTTTTGCTTTCATCACCATAGAAGAGAGAACTTGCCAAGTTCACACATAACACTATTTCCAACGGTCTCTCAAGAAGCTACTGCTAGATGGTACCTTACATGACTGTGCTGCATAAACATTGGAGCAGATTTAGTAGCTTTTATTGATAAGGTGAAAGGGAATGAAAAGCAATGATTCACAGACAGGAAAGACAGTTTGGTATTTTTTGTTTACCATTAATATCTAGAAGAAGGAAAATGATTTTTGAAAGAAACCCTGCACTACACCCAAAGTGATATTTCTTCTTCCTTCTCCTTCCTTTCCTTCCCCTTCCCTTTTTTCCCTCTATAATTCCCTCTATAATCCACTATAATTCCCTCTCTTTCTCTCCCTCCCTTCCTCCCTCCCTCTCTCTTTCCTTCTTTCTTTCTTTGTCTCTCTCTCTCTCTCTTTCATCCTCCCTTCTTTCTTTTTGAGGCAAGGCCTTGCTATGTTGTCCAAGCTAAAGTACACTGGCACAAACACAGCTTACTGCAACCTTGACCTTCCATGGTTCAACTGATTCTCCCACCTCAGCGTCCTGAGTAGTTGGGACTACAGGCGCGTGCTATCACCCAGCTAATTTTTAGATTTTTTTTGTAGAGGGGTTTTGCCATGTTGCCCAGGCTGGATTTGAACTCCTGAGCTCAAGCAATCTGCTTGCCTCAGCCTCCCAAACTGCTGAGACTACAAGTGTGAGCCACTGTACTGGGCCCAAAGTGATATTTCACAACTGCAAATCTGATTCTGTCATTCCCGTTTAAAAATCAACAGTGGCTTTCTACTGGCCACTGTTTTTAGGAAAATCCTCAACATGGTTTACCAGGTACTTCATATTTGACCCATGTCTTCCTTTTTGGCCTGGGCTCATCTCACTATTTCCCACACAATCCACAGCCATTCTGGATGGTTCTTAGCATCTTACTCATCAAGGCTTTCCATGCTGTAACGCACGTTGCATTCTCCAGGAAGCACACTCTGAGGTAGAGCTTAGAGTTCAGGATGTTTATTAGAGAGTGCTCTTGAGTCAACACCCAGGGAAGGGAGGAGGCGGAAGCAGAATTGGGAAGAGGGAGAAATCAAGCTGAGATGCAAGCCTGACAGCCTCAGCCAACAAGACACATTGCTCTGAAGCTGAAGTGGCTCACCACAGGTGGCACACAAATGGTGGAAGGGTGTGAGCTTGGGTGACGAGGCTCCCTGCAGCTGAGGCAATGCCTGAAGAGGCTGGCACTGCTAGCTCCAGGGTTATCAAGTCCTTCCTTAAAAGGGGATCTGAGCTTTGCATCTGTATATCACCTCACCTTGTTATTTAGCTTGTATGAAACTCTCCTCTCCAGCTCACTTAGGTCATTCAGCTCATCCTTCAGATCTCACTATAATCCTCATTTCTTCAGCGAGGGTTTCCCAAATTCCCAAACTCCACTGGCACTTCCTCGTATCAATAACTCCATGAGTATGGATCACTTCTGTAACATTCACTCTGTATCTTCAATGCCTACCACAGTGTGGGCACATATAGGTACCTGATTAATACTAACTGAATAAATGAACAAATCTGAGGATTAAGGAGCACTGCAAAGAACAAAGAGCCTTGCCAACGCATCTACTTTGGCATATTCCCTTCCTTCCTTCCTTTTTTTCTTCCTTCTTTCTTCCCCCTTCCTTCCTTTCTCTTTCTTTCTTCTTTCTTTTCTCTTTCTTTCTTCCCTCCTTCCTTCTTTTTCTTTCTTTTCTTTCCTTTCTTTCTCTTTCTTTTTCTTTTTTTCTTTCTTTTTCTTTCTTTCTTTCTCTCTCTCTTTCTCTTTCTCTCTCTCTCTCTCTCTCTTTCTTCCTGAGACAGAGTCTTGCTCTGTCACCCAGGCTGGAGTGCAGTGGCACAATATCAGCTCACTGCAACCTCCGCCTCCCAGGTTCAAGCGATTCTTCTGCCTCAGCCTCCCGAGTAGCTGGGATTATGGGCACACACCACAAAGCCCAGATCATTTTTGTATTTTTAGTAGAGACAGAGTTTCACTGTATTGGACAGGCTGGTCTTGAACTCCTGACCTCGTGATCTACCCGCCTCAGCCTCCCAAAGTGCTGGGAGTACAGGGCGTGAACCACCATGCACAGCCTACTTTGGCATATTCTAAGACTTTGTGGCAGTGTGATGTTGAGGCAAGGACTTCAGACCCCATCATCAGTCAGTGCCCAGTCAGTCAATCCCAGCTCAGTCACATTTTAGCTGGGTGACCATGGATACATTCATTAATCTAAGCTCTAATATTTCAAGTGAATAATAACAATGGTAATGTTAGTAGTAATGATAGTATCTTTCCTGTAGGCTGCTGGGAGGGTTCCATGACATAATCTATGTAAGGGATTTATCGCAGTGCCTGGAATATAGTCATGCATCAGTAACTTGCTAGCTATAGATGCTATTATTATTTGACCTTTTGCTATAAGTTCTTAAAATACCTTTAAAAAGATAATAATATTAGAAAAAGTCTTTTTTATATTTGCTCTTACAAATGCATCAAAATAGTAATCTTAGAAAAAATCAGAAACGTTGGATTTTCCTACATTTAATTTACAGTATAGAATTGATTTTTATTTTGCATTATACTTGGGAGATGGAGGACAGCATTATCTTCTCCTTACTTATGATCTCTAAAATTTTTATGTGTGTGTGTGTGTGTGTGTGTGTGTGTGTGTGTGTGTATATGTATTTTAAGACAGAGTCTTGCTCTGTCGCCCAGGCTGGAGAGCAGTAGCATGATCTCGGCTCACTGCAACCTCCACCTCCCAGGTTCAAGCGATTCTTGTAC